AGTGCAGGAGGCTAAGGTCACTTGTCAAGTTCACACAGCTAGTAAAGAGGCAGGCAGGGCTTGGAAGCAGGCCTGGTCCCATAGTCTCCGAGCGTCCAAGACATGCACTTGGTCCAGCTCATTCTCTGACTATTTGTGCGAACAGTTCCTGTTGAGGTGTTTTCTGATCGGTGAGAGAGCCCACGCTGTTTGCCTGGCCTCTGCTAATGGTTGATGTTAGAACCCGAAGCCACACCTGGTGACAACAAAGTCCCTTAGTTATGGTTTGTCTGGGAAAGTCTTTTTTTTTAATTTTTCTTTTTATAAACATGTAATGTATTATTAGCCCCAGGGGTACAGGTCTGTGAATCGCCAGGTTTACACACTTCACAGAACTCACCATAGCACATACCCTCCCCAATGTCCATAACCCCGTGTCTGGGAAAGTCTTTATTTCGCCTTCATTTTTTGCTTCAATCAAGGTGAAGTTCACATAACAGAGAATTGACCGTTTCCAAGTGTATAATTCAGCAGCGTTCAGTACATTCACAGTGTTGTGTTCCTAAAGTTGTTCATCGCTCCAAAAAGAAACTCCACGCTCATTAAGCAGTCACTCACCTTCCCCTCTTGTCCTGGTCCCTTCCAACTACCCACCTGTTTTCCGGCTCTTTGGATTTGCCTATTCTGGATGTCGTGGCCTCAGAGTATGTGTAAAATTAGGAAGTGCAGGGCTGGGAGAGACCTCTGATTCTCTTTTCCTTCCCCTGCCTCCCTTTCTTCCACGGAGATGCTCAGCTAAATCCTTGGGCATCACCCCTGGCATATTTCTTGCCTCCTCTACTTGCTCACCACGTCTCTCTCCCCACTGGAACGTGGGTGCCGTGAGGGCCAGTATCCTCTCTGTCTTGCTCCCTGACAGGCAGCTAATGAGGGCTCCATTAATACTGGCTGGACTGACTAAATGCATGTTGAAAACGAGCATCCTAACAATATAACATCCCATTTACTGGGCACTTGAAGGTGTCAAGCGGTGTTCCGAGCACCTCATACACTTTATCCCATTTAATCTCGGCAATAACTCTGTTATGTGGATTCCATTATTCACTTCCATCTTCTAGATAAGACAATTGAGGTTTATGGTGTTTTTGTGACTTGGCCAAAGTCCACGGCCAGCAGAGGCTTGACAAGTGTGGGAAAGGCCTGGGGAAGGGCTTTTCAGGGCAGGCGTTGGACTTGGTCAAATGAAAATTCTTCCTTGCTTCTTCTGAGGGAGGTGAGACCGAGATTGCCAGTGTTTGCAGGGGGTCCCAAATCTCTGCCATCCAGGGGGCAGGGGTAAGGCAGAGAGGGCACTGGGTTGGGAATTTGGACCTTGAGTTTGAGTCCCTGGTATGACTCTGACTGTCTGTGTCACCTCAAACAAGTTCCATATCTTCAGATTCCTCAGCAGACAAGTGTGGAGATGGGCTTAGATTATCTCAAAGATTTCTTCCAATGACATTATGTATGTGTGTTATGTGTAGAGGGGGTGGAAAAGATGGAATCATGAGCTCCTTAAAGAACAACATAGGAGTGTTCTGGGTAGAAACACATTCAGCAGTCACCCTGGGGTCAAGAACCTTTCTATGGCATCCCTGAAAGGTAGTCATCCCCAATTGCCTTGCATACCTCCAATGACGGGGGACTCACTATCTCAGAAATTATTTGCCAGCGACTTACAGCCATTTAAAGATATTATAGAGCCCTACACACTCTTTGTTTTGGAGGCATAGCCCACTGCATAATAAACACATTGTAATAAATGCGTATTCCAAAGGAAAGAGAATGTGTACTTAGCTATTTAGTATAATGAGCTGCCACTGACCAGCTGTCATAGTGGCACAATTGTAGATAGCCAATTAAACATTTATTACTTGCAATTTTGTGGTTTTCTTTTTGTATTTTAGATCTGGGGTGTGTGTGTGTGTGTGTGTGTGTGTGTACACGCGTGCGTGCGCGCATGTGCCTGTATGAGTTTGCAGACATTTTTGTAGGTTGCTTAAAGCTCTGAAGCCCTATAGAACAAAGTCCCCACTTCCAGGCAGCTCGACAGAGCTCCTTGTTCTCCTGAGTTTTTGCTTCTTTATGATCAAACAGCCCTCAGGCCCTCCAACTGGACTCCTCACCATCATCACTGCCATCGCTGCCACCACTGCCCTGCCCATCACTGCTGTCGTCAGTGTCCTTGCATCCTCATCTCCATCGACAAATCGCCTTCCCTCTACCTTCAGCCCCCACCGTCACAGGAGCTGGGCCGCAGAAGCTGCCCACACCAACATGGGATCTCCATCCCTCTCTGTTCTTCTCTCCCCCAGCCTCACTCCAGGTTTTGCCCTTCTGACAAGGTACAACTTGCTCCTACAGGCGACAGTCCTGCAGCTGGCAGGGTCACCTTAACGATGGCGGCAGCAAACAGCCAGCATTGACCACGAATGTTCACATACATGGGCTGTCTTACATAATGCTCTCTGTCCTCTCCCACTTTTCACGGCCCCTCCATGTGCCCATGGCCTCCTTTTGGTCCTGTAGGATTACACTGTGGAGCAGGTGGGGCAGTCGCTATTACCCCATTTTGCAAATGTGGCACAGAGAGGCCAGCTGCCTAAGCGAGGTCACACAGCTGGTCAGAGGCTGGTAGAGCTGTCTGTTGCTCATTCCCCACAGCTTACCCTGTCCCACACCTCCTGTGTTTGTCTTTCTTTCTTTCTTTCTTTCTTTCTTTCTTTCTTTCTTTCTAACATATTTATTTGACAGAGAGAGAGAGAGTGAGTGAGAGAACACACAAGAAGGAAGGAGAGAGAGAAGCAGGTTCCCCACTAAGCAGAGAGCCTGATGTGGGGCTTGATCCCAGGACCCTGGCATCAGGACCTGAGTCAAAGGCAGATGCTTAACTGACTGACCTACCCAGGCACCCTACCTCCTGTTTCTCAAACCTCATTCGCTCACGCACCACCTCCAGGATCCTTTCCAAACCCACAAAATACCAGTCCTGTTTTTTTATGCAATATTTTTCTCAGAAGTGATTGAATTGATTGCAAACGGGATTGTTTCATCACTGCAATCACCAACAGGATCACCTTCCTTCAAATAGGTCACCCTGAAACTTAACGTGGCAATTAACAAACGTTACACTCCACGTGGCCACTGCTGTGCCAAGAGCCAGCCTCTAAGCAGACTGGCCTGGTTGGAGACGTGTTTAAGTGGGACTACCACCAAACTGATACTTTCCCTTGGATGCAGACAGGAAGGCTTGGAGGACTGAAAAGGGAACCCTCTCTCCGCTGGTTGGGCAGCATGTTGACATCCGTGTGGCTGACCACTCCTGTCCATGCCCGGACCCCAGGGCTGCCTGCCCCACCCATCGAGGAAACATCTGGCTCATGCAGGAAGCCCCCATTGTGCCATGGAAAGGAGCCAGGGACCTCTGCGAGGCTCGGTTTTCCATCTGGGCATGGGCATGGTACTGCAGCATGCAGTGCTGGGAAGAGAAGCTGTGACATAAAGACAAGCCTGGAAGTGAGGTGGCGGCCTTAGCAAGCGTCCCTCCCTTCCCCACGGCCGTTCTCTGCTCTTCTCTCAGAAACCCTGGTCTTGGAGTCCTGCCTTTTCTGGGAGAGAAGGCACCCCAGCTGGCCAGATGGGGAGAAGGAATGAGCACTGTGGGTCTCCGCGGGGACAGTCTGGGTGCCGGGCAGCTCCCGGTGAGCCCAGGACAACCTGCCAGGCCAGGGGGGATGCTGTGTCAGTTTGCTGTTTGCTTCTCCCCCTGGCCCGGCCCTTAGCACTTCTCTTCCTCTTGGCCTCCCCGCCCCAGTGAAACAAAGGGTCCTTCCCAGCAGGTGTAGTGAGTTCTAATTCCAGCTCCGCTACTTACCAGTGAGGCAATTCTGGCCAGGAGATCTGGCTTAAAGCCCCAATTTCCCTTCCCGTGAAATGGGGACAATAACCTCAACCGCACAAGCCTTGCCAAGAGGCTTGCAGGCTTCAGAGCAAGGCACTTCTAGAACTTTCCCCACTGCTTCTCTCCATGGCCAAGGCAAGCAGTGGTGTGGTGTCGTCTCCCTGCCTCAGATGCCTCAAGGGGCAGAATGGAAATGACAAGAGTTTCTACGTTGTCTGACTGTTGTCAGGAAGAAACGGGCAAAAGTGGGCAAAGTCCTGGTAGTTGGGGTTCAGTGGGTGTGAGCCCTCTACATGCTTACACACAGCACAGTGCTTGACCCAGAGCCCGTCTCCCTCTAGCTCCCCACTGGGCTCTGGCCTGCCCTGTCCCTTCTCCTTCCATGACCTCAGCATGTCTCCTTTCTTAGCTACGTCCCCTGGTAGTACCCCGAGCTCCTAGCCTCTGCCCTGGGGGGCCAAGCCATGACTCTTCAATATCTGACCTAAGTCCCAGGCATCCCGGAGACGCCCAGTCCAGTTACAGAACAAACTGCAGGTTTCACTGTGTTCTTTATGACAGCTGAATACTGGAAATGACCTTGATGTGTTTGCAACTAGAAGACTGGTGGAGAAATTTTGTCATAATGGAATCCTGATAGCTATTACTGTAACACTTTGGAAACTATGAAATAGTAAAAAAAACATGTTTATCTTTAAGTAATAAAAAGCAAGATTGAAATTGTATCTAAGACACAATTATAACTAAGAACTCCTACCCTGTCAACCTACAGGGGAGAAAAACAGCCAACATTTATGTCTAGAAGGGCAGACTGGCTGGGAATAGTGGTTTTCTTTGGATGGTGGTATGACTTATTACGTCTTCCTTCAAATTTCCTTATTCCAACTTTTCTACATTGAGAATTAATTCTACGGTGACTAAAAAGAACACAAAGATGCAGAATTGTGTATGCTGTACTTCACTTAAGTCAAAAACACTCAGATATATATATATACACACACACACACATATATTATAGTGCGTATATTTTTGCACAAAGAAAATTTGGAAGGATACATCATAACAAACAAAAGTGACCGACCTCTTCTTTTGAGAGGGGACTGGGCAGATGCGGACCGGGGTGGAGTGAGGATCTCCCTGAAGACCTTTGTATATTGTACTTCTGACTGCATGGATGTTTTTTCTAACCAGAAAGTGAAAAGAAAAAGAAAACATAACTACCTAATAAACATTTAGCAAAAGCAGTATTTTTCCAAATGGGCTCTGCGGACATTTGTTGAAGTTCCTACTTAAAACAAAAAACAAAAATTTGTGCCTGAAGTACAAGATCTTAATGGTGCACTTAACGGAGCCTGTCAGCAAGCACTGGGACTGAGAGAGACTGGGGATTGGAGGGCTCTCAACAAGCCACATAAAGTCCCAGAGGCCACTCCCACGCTGCCCTCTTTTTCCCACGGAGCCTACCCAAAGAGTGATGCTCCCAGGACCAGTTTAGGGAGCGCAGGGAAAGGGAAAGCTAGGAGGATGGTCGTGTCTCCCTAAGCCAGGCAGGTGTGTGTGAACAGTCTATACCCACTGTGGGACTGTGGGGTATGGGCATGGTGACCCAGAAAGAGGACACCTGCACTGGCCAGAGGGGTGGTCACTGTGGTCACTCTGGGCCTAGCACCACCAGTTGGCCACATTCTTCAAGAGAACCTGGAAATCTGGATTTTAAATGAAATCTTCTGGCTATAAAATAAAATATCCAAGCTTTTCAATGCAATCTCTCTCTCTCTCTCTTTTTCTAATATCTTACGGTTCCCTGCAAAAGTCCTCCACCACCTGTGGGCTAGGAGCTCAGTGTGTCGTTGATGTTCTCAGAAAGCCAGGTCTGCCCTGAGGATTTATTTCCTTTTCTAGCCACCCACCATCTTTCATGATTGCTTTGAGAATTTTGCCCCAGATCAGCATCAAACTCATTGGCCCATTGCTCAGGGGAGTTTGCTTTCCTCCTGCTTGAAAACTGGGCTGACATCCATCTGTCTCTGCCCCGGGAGTGTGGGAAGGAGCCTGGGAGAGGGTGACTAACCCTAGCAACCAGCTTTCTCAGGGGGAGTGAATGCTCTTCATCAGGCAGTGACAGTCTTTGGCATTGTTGCTGGACTCCTGCTCTGGGCTCTAACAGCCCTCTGATGTCTCCATCCCTCCTGCCCTCTTCAGCCTTAGTTTCCCTTCCTCTCCTGCCACCACGCCCTCTGTGCACCAGCCTGCCAGAAAGTCTCATCCTTCAACTCTCCATATTCTCGCACCTCAGTGCCTTTGCACATCCCGATCCCTGGGTTGGGATCACCCTCTCCTGCTGCTGCTTCTACCATCTAACCCTCAGGCAGCTGGACAGTGACATACCCAAATGGCAGCTCCTTGTGCCCTCTCTGTTGTAGCCAGCACCCCAGAAGGCTGGCATCCACTGTTCCTGCGTTGGTCATTATTTAGTCTCCCATTTTTTCTGTGACCCACGCCCTTCTCGCATGCTTTCACCTTCCAAACAGCTTTTAAATCTGTCCCCTTCTCTCCCACTGCAGTGTTCCAGCTTTTGTCCCAGCCGGGCTGTCCTGACTCTTCCAGATCTCGGCTCTCCTGTCAGCCCCACCTGCCTTCACATTATCTGGGGAAAGGACATTTTAGAAAACACGACCTGGTCACCTCTACCCTCTGCTTGAAATCCTTGTGTCGCTCCCCAGCCTACAGGACAGAGTTCAGACTCCTCAGTTTGGCATTGCGGGGTCCAGCCCTGTCGACTCCTCTGTTACCTCCTTCAGATGCCCCTTGCACCTCTGGCAAAACCTAGCGGTCCTGTGTGCTCTGAGCACATCTGGAGATTTTGCAGCTCTGTGTCTTTGTACACATCTTTGTACACCTCTTTCTCCTCTCTTTGTCTACCTGCAACCCTCCCCATTCACCTCTGCCTCCAGCTCTGTGAATCCTGTCCTGATTCCCCCAGGGCAGCGGGTTTGGAAGTTAGATTATTCTCGCAGCAAAGGTGGGTGATTCCCAAGCTGAAAGTGGCTGGGGTATCCAGTCCCAGCTGGAGCTGTTGACAATGCTACCTGCTGCTCCTGTAGGTTGGGCGCCAGGTCAAGGCCGCCACATGTTCCTGGAGACTGTCCCCACAGGGCTGGCGATAATCAGCCATGCCGCCTGCTCCAATCTGTGACCAACTTGGCTCCAGCCACCTTTCCCTCACTGCCCCGGCGCCAGGACCGCGCCCTCCTGGCAGCGCTGCCACACGGAAGCTGGCATCAAAGACGGACAGAGTCAGAAAGGCTCTACAAGATCAGCCAGTGTGCCCCTGCCTGGATTGCAGTTGGAGAAGCTGGGGCCCAGAGAGTGACAGTGGCTTGCCCAGGGTCACACAGTGATGAAAGGTGTAGTCATGCCTGGAGCCCAGTTCTTCCAGATCGTATCAGATAGTTTAAAAAAAAAAAAAAATCGAAGGAAACCTTGAGATGTGCTAGCAAGGGCCTGGGGAGGAGTGCCTTAAAATTGACCAGACAGGGCAGGCCTCCCTGAGGCTGACCCCAGGGGGCAAGGCAGAGGAAAACAATCCCTGGCGAGGACTTTAGTGGGGACCAGCTTGCCGTTTTGGTCTGAGCAATGTGAGTGAGCAGAGATGCAGTCAAAGGCAGAGCCTGCTCCTGGTCATGTGGGGCCGCATAGACCCCGGGAGGGTTTGCATTTTAGTCCATGTAAAGGAACAACACAATGGAGTTTTGGCTCTGATCTGAGTAGACAGTTCTGCAAACATATACAGATGGCCAACACACACCTGAAAAGATGTTCAAATTCATCAGCCATCGGGGAAGTGCAAATCAAAATCATAGCGATATCATGTCGTACTCACAGAATCCAAAAGTTGGGTACTTAGGGTTGGTGAGGATGAGAAAAAACTTGAATCCTCATACACTGCCAGTGGGGATGTCAAAGGTTCAGCTGCTGGGGCACCTGGGAGGTGCCCTCGGTTAAGTGTCCCACTCTTGATCGGCTCAGATTGTGATCTCAGGGTCATGAGATCGAGCCCTACACGGGGCTCCAAGCTCAGCACACAGTCTGGGTAAGACTCTCCTTCTCCCTCTGCCCCTCTACCCCTCTACCCACTCATGCGTGTGCTCTTTCTCTCTCTCTCTCTCTCTCTCTCAAATAAATAGATAAGTCTTTTTTTTCTTTTTTTAAAGTTTCAGCTGCTTTCGGACTGCCTGGGTGGCTTGGTCATTAAGCGTCTGCCTTCAGCTCAGTCATGATCCCAGGGTCTTGGGATCGAGCCCCACATTGGGCTCCCTGCTTCAGGTGAGCCTGCTTCTCCCTCTCCCTCTGCCTGCTGCTTTCCCTGTTGTGCTCTCTGTGTGTGTGTGTGTGTGTGTGTCAAATAAATAAATAAATAAATAAATAAATAAATAAAATCTTTAAAAAAAAAGTGTCAGCTGCTTTGGAAAACACTCTAGTAGTTCCTCAAAAGGTTAAACATTGTATTCTTACATGGTTTAGTAATTCTACTCCTAGGTTCATCCCCAGGAGAAATGAAAAGATAAAATGTCCTCAAAATCAGTACATAAATGTTCATAGCAGAATTATTTATAATAGCCAAAAAAGTGGAAACAAGCCAAATGCCCATCAACAGAATGTGGTGTATCCATAAATGGAATATTATTTTGGCCACATCAAGGAATGACGTATTAATACATGTTACATGCAACATGGATGAAATTTGAAAACATGCTCAGTGAAATAAGCCAGACACAAAAGGCCATCTATTATTCCATATAATCATACATTACATGATTCCATTGATAGGAAATGTCCAGAAGAGGTACATCTCTAGACACAGAAAATAGATTAGCGGCTCCCAACCTTGGGTAGGAGTGGGGATGGATTGGGGAATGACAGTTAATGGGTACAAAGTTTCTTTGGGGGGTGATGAAAACGAGATCTGGACTTAGATCGTGGTGATGGTTGCAGAGCATACTGAAAAAAGTGACCCATAGACTTTAAACAGGCAAGTTTTAGGTCATATGAATTATGACTCTATGAAGCCTTAATTCTGTTTTGAAAGGCCACTCTGGTTGCTGTTGGGGGCAGAGTAACAGTAAGGAGGTCAGGCACCAACAATGCGATCATAGGCTTAGAGTGTCCAGTGCAGAGGAGGGACACAATGACTGTGTGCATGGCTCGCACAGGCTGATCCCTGTTCAGGAATGTCCTTCTCTTCTTATCCAGGCTTTTAAAACCCTGCACTGTTGACATTTTGCGCAGGATCTTTCTTCTGTATGGAGGTACTGTGGGATGGGAATCACGGGATGAACAGCCGCACCCCTGCACCACTCGCCAGCAGTCAGCACATCCCCCCACACAGCTGCAACAGTCAAAAGTACCTCCTAGAGGACTAACTGACCCCAACGGAGAACTGCTGCTCTAACCTCTTTTGCTTAGCTGCTGAATTCTTGAGTACCCTTCCAGGATCATTTCCCTTATCCTCTCTTCTGGGGAGCCTTCATCCTTCATTCTCCAAAGTCGCCCAGTTTCTTTCTTTCTTTCTTTCTTCTTTTAAAGATTTTATTTATTTATTTGACAGACAGAGATCACAGGTAGGCAGAGAGTCAGGTAGAGAGAGAGGAGGAAGCAGGCTCCCTGCTGAGCAGAGAGCCCGATGCAGGGCTAGATCCCAGGACCCTGGGATCATGACCTGAGCCAAAGGTAGAGGCTTTAACCCACTGAGCCACCCAGGCGCCCCTAAAAGTCACCCAGTTTCTTAAACAAAGCCCCATCACAGCCCTGATCGCACCGTGCACGCTCCACTCTCCCCACAGCTGCGTAGACATGGCACCTTACGCACTTTGGGTCCCCAGCATCAAGTACAAAACCTGGCCCTTTGGAGGTAGCTATGGACCCATTGCCTCACCTGCCAAGTGCAGAGGTGCACTGCCTGCCTCCCCCAGGGTTTCCATGATTAGTGCTCAAATGTGGGTTAACTGATCTGTCCACCCCTCCTGACTCTGGGTAGGAGGGTAGGTTACAGATCCAGATGGCCTGGGTGGCCTGGGTTTGCTGTGGGACGCTGGGAAAGTGATTGAGTTTTCTGACTTTTGGTTTCTTCTCTGTAAAATGGGGGTACTGATAATGCCCACCCTGTAGGGTTGTCATAAACACATAGCAAGAACACAACAAATGTCATATACTCTTGGTGATAATAATTTACTATTCTTTCTTTTTTCTGAGGGGCCTTCCAAATTCAACACAGAGGTGGCCTTGTCACTGGTAGGTGTTGTTTTGTGAGCCCTGTCCTGGATGCTGGCCAAGAGGAGGTAGGGGTGGGTCCATTAGGAGAATATTACGCAAAAAAATGGAAAGTTCAGAAATTATAAAGAGTCAGGGAACAAATTTCCCATAATCTTGCCACCCTCAGGCATATACAATCAACACTCTTTGGTCTGTTTCCTTGTAGTCTTTTTTCTAAGTGCTTGCCACGAATCTGTTACCATACCCTATATATGCATATACATACACATATCCTTATTCATTAAAAACTCTCCATTTTCTGTAGTCACATGGCTGTCCCATAATTTACTTAATTGATTCCCTACTGGACATTTAGGCACTCTCTGATTGTTGATGAATACCTTGCATTTGGAAGAACTTTGTTCATACTCCCATCATTTCATTTGGATGTCCTCCTTGCTTTTAAAACATTTTTGGCAAAGAGACCTCTCTAGCCTGCTGGGACACCCATTTTCCCATAGCTAGGCATCCATTTTCTCATCATCAGGGATTTCCTCCCCCAGGCTGAGCTAAATCCTTGGGATTGTGCCTTAATCCTGTTTCCCCTTCTGTGGACATTGGTGGAGATGGACCACAGCTGGCCTTGTCTTCTCCTTGGATGCATCAGCTGGGAGGGTCAGTTTATTTAGTCAACAGTGGATGGAGAATGAAAAGGAGAAGCAGCCTAGGCCAAGGTTAATGGGGACGAGGTTAACTGGGACAAGGTGGTAGAAGAAGAGAAGTTGGCTAGCTGGGGTTAGCCAGCCTCATATCAGCTTCCTATATGCTGTTGACTAGTGACCTTCCTTCCTTCCAGATCCCTAAAGAAATCAACAGGCAAAGGTACCCCAACCCCGTTGCCAGACTCAGACCCTCTTTCTCCTGTGTACATAAACAGCAGCTCTTCCTAGTACACGTAGAACAAGAAACCAGTGCTGCCTGGGCCCCAGCCAGGTGCCAGGTCGCATGCTAGACACCTTCCAGACTCCTACTTTGGAGCTGGTGTGGTACCATCCGAGGTGCTTGGAAGCAGACAGATCTGGAACCAATCCCAGCATAGGCATGTCCTACCAGTGGGACTGTGTGGAAGCAATTTGCCCCTGTGAGACTCGGTTTCCTTGTCTGTAATTTTGGGGTCTAACGGCACCACCTTCCCAGGATCCTTGTGGAGACTAGATCCCATACTGTACGCACAGCACCCCAAGTACCGGGCCTGCACAGAGCAAGAGCAGGAGAAATGTTATTTTCTCATTCCATTCAACTCTCATCATATCTCTCGGTCAAAGATGTCAATAAATGTTATCTGTCTCATTGCCTTTTATAACCACCAGCGACGGGGCACTCATTAGTATTAATTTGTAACTTCCCATTACCAATAAGATACTGAGGCTCAGAGAGATTTCACCAGGCGGTTTTCCGGGCAGAAACTGTTATCTCACAGATTTCATGTCTCAGAGAACCATCAGGATGGTGTCTGGAGGGGAAGCGGGGTGCCCCCCACCCCAATTCCCTGGGCCCTGTTTTATGCCCAGCTGGGCCACTGGCTACCTCTGGCAAAGGAGACCAGAGAGGACCTGCCCCCCACAAATGAGTTCCCAGGAGGCAACAAGAACCAGGACTCTGGCCATTGAAGTTAGGGTATGACAGCTGCCATTGGGGGACACCACAATCTGTACTTTACTGACCCACCTTCCAATCCTTAGAGCTTTCTCAAAGGGCCATTAGCGTCCCCACCCCAATTCACGGGATGGGAAACTGAGGTTCATATGGTCAAGGTCAACTGCAATTACTTAAGTGAGCGAGCTGGGATTCCCAGGGTAGGCCACTTGCCCAGCTCATCCCAGAGGCAAATCCTGCCTGTCCTTGGTACGAGGACATAGAGCGGCAGCCCAGGAGGGCGAAGGCCAGATACCTGGGCTCCCCGAGGAACTCTGCGTCCCCTTCCCGCCCACCCCCAACCTTCAACTGGCTTTCCTAAAGCAGAATGTCGCTCCATGCTCCCGCAGACACAACGCCTCTAGAAATGCCACCGCTCAGAGCCGGGGTCAAAACAGCGACTGTTTCTGTGCAAGTGGACTTTCCAAATCCACCCCCACGCGGGCAGAGGGAACAACACGCCGGACCCCACGCCCGGAGCACAGCTTCGGAACCGGGGCTGCATCCCGTCCTTGCAACTCCCCCTTGGCGCGCGCACGACCCCCGCAGGTCACAGAGAAGGAAACTGAGGCTCGCAGGCGGAGAGAATCGTTCAAGGTCAGGCGTAGTCTGCAAGCCGCGGGGGGGCCGGAGCTCGCACTCGGGGTCAGGGTCGCGACGGCGGCGGCGACCCCACCCGAGCCGAGGCCCCGTGGGGAGGCGGCGGCCGCGTTACCTTGAGCTGCTGCGGGGTGGGGCTCCGGCTTCGGCTCTGGGCTCGCAGGCGTCCTGCACTGGCGCCCGCTCGGCTCCGGGCAGGGATGGAGCGGGTGCCCCGCCCGCGCCCCGCGCCCCGAGCCTCGCGCCCACTTCCTCGTCCCCGCCCCCAACTCGCTCCTCCTCGCTCTCCGCCCCTCCCGCCCTCCCTCCCTTCCCTCTCCCGGGCTCTCCTGCTCCCCTCTCTTTCTCTCCCTCTCTCCTCCCGCCTCCGTGCACAGCACACTCTCTCTTCCTTCGCTCTGCTCCCTCCCCACAGTTCTTCTCCCCCGCGCTCCCCCACTTTCCCCTAGACCTTTCCTTCTCTCCCTGGCTCTGACGCGCGGCCCCTTCCTCTTTCTTTCTGTCACACTACCGTCTTTCTCTCCTTTCCGCGCCTCACTTCCACCCACTCCTCTCCCCCCCCAGCCCTGTCTGGGACCCAGCCTCCAGTAGTGAGGTAAGAGTAGGAGACTCCCAGCTGTGGCCCCTCGGGATCTGGTGGCACCCCTGCCCAGCACCCTGCTACCTGGAATCAGCCTACAGGAGAAAAAGGACTCGTTGCCTGGGAAAGGTCTGGAAAATTCTGTGATCTGTGGAACTTCAGAAAACCCCAGGGAGGGTTTGTTCTACTTGGAGGAAGGGATGGAGAAAGAGAAGGTGTAGAGAGGAGGGTCTTGGGAAAGGGGCTTTTGGGGATGGAAAATGGAGGCTTAGATGGGGAATCCTATCTCTTAAATATCAAGATGGCAAGGCTGCTGTACTAAGGGCGCAGACGTGGGTGGAGGGACCTGGGTGGGCAGGATGGCCAAGGGCATTGTGCCAGGCCTGGGGTAGTCAGCCCAGGGTAGGAGAGACAAGTGGTCAGATGGGCTGCCCCTTATTGCCTGGAGAGCCTGACACGAGGAGGGGAGTTTGCACAGGAGCTTGGCAAAGGAGAGCAGAAGGACGCCAGCTCAGGGGAGCAGACATTTCAGAGGCGTGTTCATGGTGATTGACACGCCACCCTAAGCCATTCTGGCACTATGGGCCTGGCCCTGTGCCTGTGGGCTGAGATGCAGACTAGGGCCACAGTCCCCTGGAGCTCCGAGGTCACAGTTTCTGGAGGAGGATGTGGAAGGCCGTGCATCCAGGTCACCAGTATCTTGGAATGATCGCAGGAGCCTCCAGGCGGGTCTGGGGCACTCCGTGCTTGCTCGCCTACAATCTACAAAGCCTCATAGGTCATCTCTTAAAAAGTGTAAATCAGATCACACCTCTCTGTACTCCCTGCTTGAAACCCTCCCATGACTTCCTGTTGTAGTTAGGATAAAATCCAAGTACTCTATCACTGCCAACGTGATCTGATCTTATGTCTCACCACGTTCTGCCTCATTCCATGTGCCTCAGCCACAGCCGCTTCCTACTTGTGCCGGGAATGGGCCACGCTGGACCATACCACAGACCATTTGCACTGGCAGTTCCTTCTTCTGAGATTGCTCTTCCCCCGCATCGTCCTGGGTGCTCAGATGAGGCTGCATGGCCTAGTCTTCTCACCCAAAGCAGTCACCTCCTTGCCACAGTGCTTTTCACATCATGAAAACACTTACCAGTGTCTAGAACTTTTCATTTTAATGCTTATCGTCTGCATTACCGCTCCACAATGTAACCAGTGTTCATATCCTCCCCTGAGCCTCCAGGGAGCCTGGAGCCCATTACTGTAGCTGGATATACCACTAAAGGTCCAACAGCTGTTGGTTGAATAAGTGAATGAATAAACACTATAATGAATGTGTTTGGAAAAAAGAAAAGGTATGACTGACCCTGCCAGGGGACAAAAGATTGTCTTGAGATAGGAGTGGAGAAGTGGGGAGGGCCGCAGGCCTGGAGGAAACAGCATGAAGACAGGTGCAGGGTATTAGCTAACCTGGAGCATTTGGGGAGTTCTGCCTGGTCGGTCACCCAGCAGAAACCCAGCAGAAAGCCCTGGCGGGGCTTTGAGGACACTTCAGGCATGCCAGTTAGGACTTGATCTTGTGAGCAATGGAAGCGGTGGCAGGTTTTGGGGGGTCCCAAAGTCTGGGGTGTGTATTCTGGAGAAGAGAAGGCTCCAGCAACCTCTCTCTCTAGAAAGGGCTCTCTGAGGGAGCAGATGAGACTCTAGCACTTGGACCAATGGTAGAAATAGAATGAGACAGATTTGGACTCTGTAAAGAATTTTTTTAAGGATCTGTAAAGGGAAATGTGCTCTGTGTGGGTGAGATTATGGTCCTCTCCTATTCGGTGCTCCTCCCAGAGAAAGGACGCCATGTCGGTGACCTCTTTAGCCACTGAACCGGGAGAAATGATGCATCTTTGTTGTTGTAAGTCAGTAAATGTTGGGATGGTTTGTAACAAAGCAATGAATTGGATAAGGGGCCCTGAGGAGTATCAGTTCCTATCTCTGAGCCCATTTCCTTGACCATTAAGTAAGAATAACAACAATATCTGTTCAAAGAGTTTTGATGAGGCTCAGATGAAAAAAGAAATGGATAGTGCATTCATTCATTCATTCATTCAACACAGGGCGACCAGACCTACTATGTTTCAAGCCCTGGGTTAACCCTGGGATACTGCAATGAACCAGATAGGCGAGGGTCGGAAATGTAAGGAGGAAAAAGACAATGAACAAGGCAGATAATTTCAGCTAAAGATAATTGTTGCCTGGAAAGCAAAGCAGGGTAATGTAATTGAGAGTGACGGGGGGCAGTGCTTTGTTCACGATGATTGGGGAAGGACTTTCTTAGCCCATGACGTTTGAGCCCAGGCGTACATGATGATATCGGGGAGCAGTGTTCTATGTAGGGGAAGCAGTAAGTGCAAATGCCCCAAGGTAGGGAGAAGTTCATGGTGGCTGAGTGTATGAGGGAGAGGGAAGATGTTTGGAGATGGTGTTGGTGCAAGGCTGTGGTGAGGTGAATGGATTTCATCCTAAATGAAATGGAGCCAAGGAGGGATTTAAACAGGGAAGCGATACCCTTATGCTCTATCAAGCAACTTAGTACTGGAGTTATTGCTGGAGTCCATTCCTGGTTGGTCCCCCCACAGGCTGGGATAACATCTGCAACCCTTTCCAGCTCTCAGAGTTTCCAGTTCTATATTCGTTCAGAAAAACCTTTGGAAACTACTAAACATGATCATAGAAGGAGTCATCATTATCACTAAGAGGCTCCCCACCTTGCAAAAGCGTTTGGGATCTGATAGCCTAAATGTTCTCCTTGCTCTGAATACTTAATAAAAACTATCTTTCAAAGGGAATGGAAGAAGCTTCTTATTCTGAGGAAACCCAAACCACTATTTGACCAAAATAGAAAAAAAAAAAAAAAGTGCCTTCTTTGGATGAGTAATCTCTGCCGAGTCTGACAGCTTAAAATTGAAAAAAAAAAAAAATTGCAACAATTAAGATAACAAGTGACAAGGCATAGTGACGATAACATTTACTCGAGTGGTCTGCGGAAAATTCCGGTGAAACCCACTGGGTTTTGTCATAAGTTATTTCTCATCTCTGTCCTGGGCTCTGGGGTGGCTCTGGGTTTGTGGTAGGGCACCCGAGACCGCGACCGGGATGTGTGGGGTGTAGAGTTTCTTGGCCGGTGTGTGCTCTGAGTCTTAAGAGAGGCTTTGGAAAGGTTGCCGGGCTGGGAGTCCCCGGATGGATGAGGTTGGTTCCTGCCTTACCACGACTACTCCAAAGAGCCCAGACTTGGCTATTTCCCCAGTGTCTCCAACATTACAGATGCCCCAGTTCTGGCATATGAGTTGGGAAGGAACATAATTTGTTGAATGCCCACCATCTTCCGTATTCTGTGCTAGGGTTTTTGCATACATCGTCTCAAGTAATTCTCATCACAGCCCTGTGAGGTAGATACTAGGATTACCTGCCACCATCACCCCTTTATAGATGAGGATGCCGAAGCTCAGGAAATCAGAGTTTTCTCCAAGATCCCACAGCTAGCTGGGGAATTCACTCGACCGGTTCCAAAGCCCCAACTTTGAATCAGTCTGCTCTCTTGGTGCACTGCACTAGCAAGAAGGAGAATGTTCTGTGGGAACCCAGAGTTGGAAAGGATGCATTCAGCCTGGGTCTCCAGCCAGCCAGCCCATCCTGAGGATTCTGGACTTACCAGCCTTCATAATGGTTATGAGCCAGTTCCTTAAAATATATCTTTCTATATCCACAGAACTCTGACTAGTGCATAGAATAGGAGCTATTAGCCATTTCGTAAAGGAAGGATTTCCTAAAAGCAGCTGGAGGATGTGTTGGCTGATACAGGCAGCCCAGAATTGGGACTCAAGTAAGAGCACAAAGGCCCAGAATGACGGAAAAGCTAGATTTTGGACTTATGTGTGGCTGACCCCCTGGGAGCCTGGCCACATCATTAATCAGAGTCCTGGGAGGCAAGGAGTTTGGATGTGAAGGTCAGAAGGTGAGCCGCAAGTCCAGCCAAAGATGACTTGGGAAGCTCATTTCTGATTCATGGGGGTGGGGGGTGGAGGGTGGAGGGCAGCTGGCACTGCTGTTGTCTACAACAGAGATTCCCACCCTGCTGTCCCAGCCTCCATTACAGATGGAGATTGTCTTGTGACCTGGTTCAGCCAATGAGAAGAAGGAAATTTGGGAAAGGGGGGAAATTTCCCTCCTATAACGGGAGAGACAGGCACACCTTCTCCTACTTATTCATCTACTTCCTTTTTTTGATCCTGCAGCAGAGGCAGCCATGTTGTGACCATGAGGGAAAAACTATGGGACCTGTAAAGAAATGGACTCAAAACCTAATGTTATAGGGCTCCTGGGGTAACTTTTTCACTTGGGAGAGAATAAGCCCCCTCCGCCTTAAGTCAAAGTTTCTGTGATTTACGGCTGAACACATTCTGATTCAGGAAGGAAGTAAAGAACATAGTTATATGACCCCATCCCTAATTTGTTGCCCTTTGAGAGTATGGTGGGGCAATTTTCTTCTGCTGGGACATTTT